TCTGGGAAAACTGAGTAGAGAGCCTCTCATGCCAGCTGCATGCCGTACTGCCCAGCCTCCTGCTGGGGGATCTGAGAGCTGAGCTGGGCACCCCTCCTGCCAGCTGCACACTGTGCTGCCCAGCCTCCTGCTGGGGGATCCTGGAGCTGAGCTTGGAGCCTCTCATGCTGGCTTCATGCCGTGCTGATGAAAGCTCAACTGCCACCTGTAGATTCTGCTTCCTCAGGCTCTTCTGGGGCAACTGTTCCAGCCCTGCTGGGCCAGCTCTTGCCAGCTCTTCAAAGCTTCTTCTTTGTCATCCCTTGCCAGTCTCTCCCCAAGTCAGCTGTGCTGCCCCTTTTATCCCCCTCCAGGTGGCTGGAGAGGCCAATCAGGGGACATGAAGGGTGAGTCTTAATTCAGGTCTGGTTTCTCTGCCTGGGCCCCAGGGGGGAGGGGGGGCAAGCCTTCCCCCTCTCTAGGGCCTGATTGGTGAGGAAAGGGAATCCCCCCCCACCAATCTTTTCTCTTTTCTTTCAAAACCCCTGGGCCAAATCACTACTGGCTAGCCCATCACATCTGCTTATTAGAATAGGGCTTTTGGTATGCTATGATGTGTAACAGGGATCATGAGACCCTGTTACTTGAAGAGCCATTCCTACCCAGGAGGGTCATTGGCTGATCAGACCTGAAAGTGAAACTGAGCACAGCTACAGCCACCTGCAGCTGTCCCGAAGGAAAAAAGAAAAACTAGAAGATAAAAGCCAGTGCCACAAGAGAGAGAGAGTCCCTGGCTAGGGACTGTGAGTGAAGAGGCTGGCTGGACACTCCAGGAGCACAGAGGCTTCAAGGGTGAGGATCTGAAGAACCTCAGAAGCGGAGGCCAATGACAGAGGTAAAATAAAGGGGAAATACTTACCAGAATGGGGACAGGCTGTGGAGACGGAGGGAGAAGCCACAGGGCAATCAGCAGAGGCAGCGTGGCTGGAGTTGGGAGCAGGGACGGCATTCCAGCGGGGATGGAGAATGCAGGAGTGGCAGCTGCAGTGCAGTCATGGAGACCAGACCTGTAAGAGGGACAAGAAGTTCCTTAATGAATAAAAGGGAGAAGTCATCCCTGGGGAAGCAGAGAGGCATGGTGGTGGTTACACTTTGTTACTTTTTCCTGGTGGCTGGCAAGACTGTATATTTTCCTTTGGCACCTAGTAAACAACTTTTGTGTTCCTAAAAGGGCTACTCACCTGAGTCTTCTTTTCTTCAATTCTCCCATCAAAGGCATGGCAACAAGTTAGACCAGGGGGGTCCTATTATAACCATGAACCTGGTAACATGATGGTTTGTTTAACTATCTAACAAAGTTTTGTTAGCTATGCAAAAGACTTAGTGGAATAGCTAATCTTTGTATGACCTTTAACTGAGTCACCTAATCGGAGAATTATCTAGGTAATAGGGCTGTGTGAAATTTCAGCAGCCATTTCATTTCAGAGGTATTTCAACACCTGAAAAACTGAATCCATAATTAAATGGGAGGCTCTGAAACAAAATGAAACCATCCAAAATGTTTCATATTTTTTTTGGAGGCAGGCTTGCAGGAAAACAAACTTGGGAGAGTGGGGGGGAGGACTGCTCTGATATTGACAACTATAGCTGACCAGTGTCTGTGATCTGTCCCTGAGGTCCCTTCCAATCCCAGTGCTCTGGCAGAGGGATGCACACAGATCCAAGGGCCCACATGCCTGGGTAAGAGTCCAGCACAGCCCCACAGACCTCCTTTAAAGTGCTGGGAGGCTGGGGCCAGGTGGGGGATGGGGCTGGGCAGGGCAGCCATGGGGGGCTTCTCCCGTGGCTCCCCCTGCTGAGGCAGAGGCAGGCACAGCTGGAGGAGCCATGGGAGAAGTCCCCATGGCTGCCCTGCCCAGCCCCATCCCCCACTCGGCCCCAGATTCCCAGCACTTTAAAAAACAAAAATCAAACCCCGCTCTCACTGGCTGCAGCAGCGGTGATCAGGGCCTTGCCCCCCCGCACTTTGCACCCATGTGGCAGGTGTTGCATCGTGGCTCAGCAGGACGCTATGCATTGTCTGGGATCTGGGGTGGCTCTGCTTGTCAGCTGGAGTCTGGCACTACTCATCCCCAGTGGCCCCTGGTCCCAGACAGTGTGCAGCGCCCTACCGAACCATGCTGCACCTGTGCCATGGGGCAGCTGCTGTGTGGATGTCACGCGGAGGGGGGGTAATCCCTGATGCCCCTCACTGCCCTGCGCTGCATGGGGGGATCTGCCATGAGCCCTGAGAGGCCCTGATTGCCACTGCTACAGCTGGTGAGTGCGGGACTTTTTTTGTAAATGCCAGGAGGCTGGGCTGGGTGGAGGATGGGGCTTAGCAGGGCAGCAATGGTGGCTTCTCCTGTGGCTCCCCTGACCTGGGAAGAGGAAGGCACAGCCGGAAGAGCCACGGAAGAACCTTCAGCCATGCAGCTATGCCTGCTTCTCCCCTGATGATCCAAACCTCCAAAACAGCATTGAAACTCCGAAACAGATTCGGCTGAATTAAAATGGAACAGTGATCTGAAGCACCCAAACGAGTCGCTGTCCCTCTGAAATGGCCAAATCTGAAACGGAAATGAAACAGCACTTTTGTACAGCTCTACTAGTTAGGGGTCATTTTTTTGCCCCTATAGTGAATCACATAGATTGTACCAATTTAGTGCTTCTATTTCCTCTTTCAAAAATAGAAAGCATTTTTCTGCATGTTTGGTATTGTGATTATATATATTTTTGGATACCTTCTAAGATAAGCACATGCAAATGAGCTTTTTTTTTTTGTTTTGTTTTTTAAAGACTACCTGCTGTGAGCAAGGTGGCTATAAAAAGGATTGTATGAAGTTATGTTCCTAGCTGGCTTTATTAAAATGCACTGCAACCTACCATGGATCAAGATTTGGGAACATATATTTTGTTGATTGGGACTGAAAAAGACCATAACCAATCAGTAAAACAACACTGCTGTAGTGGATTGGTCTTCTAAACCTTTATACAATAACCTATGCAAGGAACAACAGGGACAATGTGGGAACCAGTTGTGATCCAATATCAACTGGGAAGTCTTCCAGGGAATATTTTGCTGGGGGTCTCCAATCTGGTCCTTTCACCCTGGTTTAGCAAAAAGAAGGCAGAGCACAGAGCAAAGAATCTAGTCCACTCAAAATACAATTTTAATACTGGTAGTTCCCATACCTGGAAGCGAGAGTGTTGGGAGAAATCTATTTTCTTTTGCATTTTTACATCTTTCTTTGTAGTTAAAGCAGCTGCTATTTCGTTGCTGTTTATCTCACAAACTTATCTCACAGGTTTCTAGCCTGTGTTGGAGTTCCCCTTGTAGAAGTCCACATTATCATTCATTTTTCTGTTTGTTCTCTAGGGAAAGAAACCTTCACATGTTCTTGTACAAGCAGTTAAAGGTTACTGTTTAATCCTGTGAACCTCTCTGGAACTGATTTTATTTTAGCTGCTGCTGCTGCTTTTATTTTTGCATTTATAATAACAATAATTATCATATGTTGTCTCTTTGACATTAATTACTTTGCAACAAAGACTAATGATCCTTGAAAAATGCTCAATGTCATGTATTTATAAATGGCTAACAGCCAATGGTGCATGGGTCAAAAATACTGTGGAAAAGTAAGGAATGACTACAAAAAAGTTTCCTGACAATTTTTGCAATGAAAAATACAACTTCCCAAGATTATTTGGAATCTTTGCCCCCAGCAACAGCAAAACCTTACAATACAAAACATGTCATAGGTATTCACAGTTGAAATCCTAGTCCTCCATGGTGTTTTTACATTTGAAAAGACTGTATTCTTTGACAGGAATGGTGCTTGTGGACATAACTCTCCTCTTCCCCCAAGTGCTTTACTTGACTGGGCTCATTCCTGCACTGACCCTATGCATGCCTAGAAGAGGCAGCATGTTACTTCAACTTGGCTCTCCTAACCTTTGTAAAGATCTTGTGCTTTAGTGGAGCTTTTTTGATGCTTTTATCTAATAGCTGATTGAATCAGCTGTAGCTAAAAGTGCCAAAAATCCCTACTGAAGCATCCAATCTTTAGAGGCACTGCAGAGCTGGGGTAAAGTAATGTGCTGCTGCTTCTGGGAAGGCATTTAAAAAAAATGTCTACAAACTTCTCAAATGGCAGGTGATATTAAAATTTTACTTTTGCTTTATCATAACATTTGTGCTCTGATGGATTTCTGCCTTATTCCCACAGTTGTACAAAAGGAAAGCTCCATTGATGACAACAATAATAGCAGTCCTGGTTTAATATATCTTCTAGCATTTCAAATGCTGTTCTATCTTAACAATATTTGAGGTTATATATTGTGTTTACTCACAAGCAAGATGAGTTCCCCCCCACAAATAGCATGGGGAAAAAAGACTGTAATCTTATTGCATACAAGGCAACTTTGCTAAATATGCTACTATTAAACTGCTGCCAAAAGCAGCATGTACTCAGTAATGGAAACCAGCTATGAAGCTAATTAAGTGCAGCCAACACTGAGCATGACTATAAAACATGACCCATAGAGCCAAACTTACTGAGGACAATCTATCACAAGGATAGATTAGTGCAACACATCTGAATACTATATAGGGTAGTGTTCACTGCATGCAGTCCCCCTCAGTGCTGACTCTATCAAGTTATGGTAAGCCACTACATTGAATACATTTCAACTTTATCTTCTGGAGCTGTGCCTTTGTTTCCCATTTCCAATTATTCCTGTTTGTTCACCAGCCTTAAGTATCTGGCAACTACCACCAAAGGAGACCCAAACAGTTCATCCAGAATCCCTCTGTTGCCCCATCTCTCATCCTACCGCATATGATTAGTGCGGCCCTGCTTTCCATGAGGTGGAGCTAGGCCAGGTTGACCTGTACCTCATCTGCATATACATTTTTGGAGCATTCCAGGATTCTTGACAAGAACACCCAGTTCCAATCATGAATGGGGTCTAATTAGCACATGGATCCTTTGGGGTTGGAGGTACCATGGCTTGAAATGCATTTGACTCTGCTGGGGCCCAGCCCAATAAACTACAGGGTAAATTACAAGCCTTTGGCTTTGGACTAATATTATGCATAGTGCTGTGACCAGTGGGGTCCCTCAAGACTCTGTCCTAGGGCCCATACTATTTAACATCTTCATCAATGATATAGACATTGGTGTCAGAAGTGGACTGGCCAAGTTCACCGATGACACCAAACTCTGGCGTAAAGCATCCATACCGGAAGACAGAAGGGTGATCCAGGCAGATCTTGACAGGCTCAGGAAATGGGAGGATGAGAACCTGATGGTTTTTAACACCAAAAAATGTAAGGTTCTCCACCTTGGGGGGGAAAAACCTGCAGTATGCTTATAGGCTCAGCAGTGCTATGCTGACAAGCACTACAGATGAAAGGGCCTTGGGGGTTATGATTGACTATAAGATGAACATGAGCCTGCAATGTGATTCTGTGGCTAGTAAAACAAGCAAAATGCTGTCTTGCATCCACAGATGCTTCTCAAGCAAATCCCAGGATGTCATTCTCCTGTTGTACTCTGCCTTGGTGAAGCCACAGCTGGAGTACTGCATCCAGTTTTGGGCTCCACAATTCAAAAAGGATGTGGAGAAGCTTGAGAGAGTGCAGAGGAGAGCCATGCGCATGATCAGAGGTCAGGAAAACAGACCTTATGATGAGAGGATGAGAGACATGAGACTCTTCAGCCTAGAAAAGCACAGGCTCAGGGGTGATCTGGTAGGCACCCACAAATTTATCAGGGGTCCTCACCAGGATCTGTGGGAACATTTGTTCACCAGAGTGCCCCATGGTATGACAAGGTCAAATGGTCACAAACTCCTGCAAGACCATTTCAGGCTGGACATAAGGAAGACCTTCTGTACTGCCTGAGTCCCCAAGGTTTGGAATGGACTGCTGCCATAGGTGGTTCAAGCACCTACTTTGAATGCCTTCAAGAGACATTTGGAAGTTTATCTTGCTGCGATCCTATGATCCCTGCTGACTTCCTGCCCCTGGGGAAGGGGGCTGGACTCAATGATCCTCCAGGGTCTCTTCCAGCCCTAATGTCTATGAAATCTATACATAAGTAGGCACAAAAGTGCTCCTTAACTGTGTTTACTGCAAGTTTTAGCACAAAGACTGCATAATTTCAAAAAAGATGACTCACATCAATTTTGGATGTGCTAAGTTTATGGATACCTAAGTTTATGGAGCAGCCATCAGGGGTGGTTAGGCCCAATTAGGTGGTCACATGACCGCAAGGGGTCCCTGGATTGGGTAGGGCTAGACAGCTGGGGTATAAGCTCAGGCCCTAGGAGCTGAGCTGGCAGTTACATCTAGGGAGCCAGTGGAGCAACATTGCACAGCATGAGGAAAGTAGCTCCCAGATCATCTAGAGGTTAGAGTAGGAACTATGGGGATGGTAGAGGTTCCTATTGGTCCTAGGTAAGACTGGAAACTGTAGCCTGCTGGGTTTGGATGGTGTAGTGGGACTGGCTGTGGTAGGGTAGTCTCCAGGAAATGCTGCACCTGTGCCTCCCCAGTGAAAGGTGAAGATGGGGGACCATAAAGCCTCAGCTTCTGCTGTCTTGTGTTTACTGTGTGGAGGGGAAAGGCTAAGGGAGCACACCCTGATAGAAAAGCACAGAGTCCAGGCCCACAGAATGGCCTGAAGCAGGGGCCAAGGCACACTGAGTAGGGCCTGAGGCCAAAGGGGGCATGAGGACCAGGAGCCCAATGAGGGGGAAGAGAGACCAAGACATGTCTGAGGGCACCTGAGGCCAAATGTGGGCTGGAGGCTGAGCATGATCCAGCTAAGGGGCCGGGGGAGTTGGAAGCGATTTTGGATGCCAGCTGTGAGTCATGGGACACAGTAGAAGGGGAGGTTCAGAGCCATGTATTTCACCCTTGGCATCAGCACAACCAAATGGGCAACCTCCTGAATATAAACACCTATTTTGTGGAAACATCAAAGACGTGGCAGAAAAGGCAGGGTGGACTGTCCTAGACAGGTAGGCAGGCCAATGCTGTGACCAGGCTTGAGGCAGCCCCCTATCACAATGGTAAATTATGTTTATTTCAAAGTGAGGGGAGGAAGGCAAATTGGAGTGCCTCCCCCCTCCCAAGTGCAGGCTGGGCAAACCCCAGACTGGAACACCCTTCCCTGCCTTCTCCCTCACCCCATCCTGAACATAGCACTACGGAGCACCTTCATCTGAACCCTCCTTAAATCTGGGTTAATTTGTCATGTGATTGGGCAGAGCACTTTTAAAGTGCTCGGCAGCTGTGCACTATTGTCAGGGCATGTCTATAGAGCACTTTCAGGAGGCATGACAAATATCACTTCTGTAAGCACCCTGGAATAAATAAAACATATTTCTTTGATGTGTTCATGTAGCATCACTTGTATATTTATTAACATTCCATCCATTTCCAGCCACAATCCAGCAAAGGCTTAACTTTCTGCACTATGTGTGGTACCATTGAGGTTAATTACTATAGTCCTTACAATACTAAATCATAATATATTTATGGTTAATCTAATTTGACATTTTGTAATTTATGCAATACAGAATGTGCAGCTTGTGAAAAGTGAGCTCATGCATAAATCTTTGTCTTTTTTGAGTTAGTTTGCAAACTTTCCTTAAACTAAAATAGCTATAGCTAAAAGTTAAAATAGGGCAGGGTGGCACCTTCAGAACTAACTGGTTCAGAGAGGCATAAGCTTTTGTTAAACAGCTTTTTTTTATCAGATTCTATTAATGGACTTGCAGAAACCAGAGTTTTTTGCTTTCTACAGGTGCATCCACAGCATCTGATAAAATAGACTGTCATCTAAAAAGAAGCTTATGCTTCTCTGAACCAGATAATCTCTAAGTTGCCATCCCACCCTGTTTTCTGTATTACTGCTGTAGTGGGACTTTAATGTTATCATCTCCATATCACCCCTTTGCAGTAGGGAAATGCCATTATCCCCACTATTGGTGGTGGTGGCAGTCCCTCAATATGAGGAAAACAGTCTTCTAGTAAATTGGTGGAGTCTTTGAGTCTGGAGATGGCTGAGGAGGTAATGTGCATGTCTGACTGCAGATAGGGCAAATAGTTCTGGGAGGAAGGAGTGGGTCCTGGTAATGTCAGATCACATCTCTTTCCCTTTGCCTTCCTTGTCTATCCACATCCACAGTGAGGTGGGCTTGCTTAAAGTGATCAATAACTTCATCATACACTATGGAATCATGCTTGAGTCTCCCAACCATTGATAGAGCACCATTTCCCAGGAATGCAGGAGCAAAACAGGTGGCCGTCTCCTGACGGTGGAGCAATCTATCACAGCAGGTGCAGATGAAGCACCTGTCACCCACCGCCTGCTCGTGGCAGTGCTGGGCACTCAGGGCAGGCTGCTGTGGGCCCAGGGCACGGGCCTTGGTGGGAGGAGTCAATGGACCATCATAGCCCAGTCTGGCCTGACCCTTGAGCCCTCCTCAAGTTCCTGGTGCCACCGTGAGCAAGCAGCAGGTCACAGGTACTTTACCTGTACCCAGCACACTAGTTAACTCTGCTGCCACTGCTCTTGGGAAAAGGAGGAGCAGCCAGCTGCAGGCCAGTCGCTGCCTACACTTCTGGGCCATGGGACCAGGCCAGATTGGACCACACTGCTGGGCCATGGGGCCGGGTCCTGTGGGCCAGGGGAGTGGGCAGTGGTGGGGAAGGCAATGGACAGCTGCAGTCCAGTTCAGCCAAGCCCCAAGTCCCAGGAGTTCAGCCTGGTCCAGCCCAGTCTAGCCCCATGGCTTAGGGAAATAGGCAGTGATGGGTCCGTGGCAGCCTTCCCCTCCTTCTCTTGGAGCCAGTGGCTGAGGTAACCATTGTGGTGGATGAAGGTGAGGCATCTGTAACCCACCACCTGTCCGGGCACTTCGGATAAGCTGCCATGGGCCAGTTGCTGCCTAGGACCCTCTGCCATGGGGCTGGACTAGTCTGAGCTCCACGTCCAGGTCATGGAGCCAGCCTGGACCAGGCTGTGGTGTGCCAAGCTAGCCCTCCCTGGCTTTTAGCCTGAGCCACTGCAGGCATGTGCCTGCATTTCCAGAGTCACAAGTGAATGTCTATGCACTTGCAAATTAGTTCAATCTACACAGGTTAGACAAACCTGCAAAGATTGAATCAATTCAGGCTCTGGATTTTTGAATGTCCGTTCCTAGCCAGTGTGTCAAAGCATTTCATACGCTTCACAGAAGTAGTCAAGAGTCAGCTTCAGTTGTCAGCTTCAACTGAGTGGGTACACATGACACAATCAGTGTATGATGATTAGTAATGGAGATGTTAGTTATCTTGGGTTTGGTTAATGTTAAAGAGATTCCTGTCCATGTGATACTGGATTAATAAATCCAGTGAGTGGATCTGACTTTAGATGCAAGCCTATCAGCAATAAGAAGTGAATTGACTGTGATAAAAGTGGGAAAGAGTGTTGGTGAAATCACACATCCTTGTGTCTCCCGTTTCTTCAATGAAGAGAGCCATTTTTGAGGTCCCTTAAGATGCTTAGGATGGTTGCTGTCATATTATCATGAAAGGATGTGATGAGTGGTAACAAATTTTAACATGTATCCACATCTCATCAGAGTTTTCCATAGGGCCTCTCTGTTGATTAGGTCTTTGGTCAATGAAGACCATGTAAAGGAATGGAGTGCTGCTTGTGGCATTCCTACAGCTATCTGACAATAAAAATTGCACCTCTAAGTGGTCTGAAACCATTTTGAAAATGAGGGAAGGACAAGGAAGCACTAAGTGGTTAGTGAAAGGTGGCTCAGAGTGGTGGAACAGCTGGGAATTGAAACCAGGTTGTGTGAATTTCAGCCTGATGATTAATCACTGAGTTTGCCCTATTTTGCTTTACACACCTGCAAAGACTAATTTTAAGTACATGAATATACTCATGTGGTTAAAATTAATCAAGGGCATAAGCCTTGGCAAGA